ACAACCCTCGACACTCTATTAACAAGCTCGACTCAAGCTTTCCCCGCCTGCCTCCGCGGCATCCGTGAAAGTTATTAGCAACTCAATCAGCGACGCGCACTGAAAGGAAAGGCGGGGTGTTGCTACTCGACGCTGAGGGCAATCGACATCGGATAGGCAGACAACGAGGTCAGCGGGGGATAGTGAGAGTCTAACAGGCGAGCCAAGCGAACGTCGTGCGCCCATCAAGAAGCGACGGGCGATCTTCTCTCTCGGCCTGGGCGAAGATAAGGCAGTGACACCTCACTTCCAGAATAAGGTTAGGTTAGCCTTCCAAAATCCCATCCCATCGTCCGGCACTCGAATCGCTGGGCTTTCTCACGAAAAGGTGACAAGAGAACCCAATGGTGCGGGGAGCTACGAATAAGCTAGTCGGCCAGTTCTACACCGACGAGTCCAGTTTTGGACGGCTTCGGCGCGTTACCCCGAAGACTTAGCCACGCTTTTCGTGGCCTCCCACCGAAGGTGAAGTCTAATGCAGCAAACGCAGCAAACGCAGCATAGCCAACAAGAACACTATACGAAGCAAGAACCTCTCGCCGTGTCGCTCGCACGAATGCATTCGGCATGTTCCAGAGGGTACATCCTCACCACCTCCACTTCCGCCCCCGCATACCATGCCGCAGGCGACCGATCCCGGCTGCAACTCTGAGGTTGCAAGTCTGGCCAGTCGAGATGAAGTCGCCTCCGGTTCAGCGGCAACGCGACACGGGTTGACGTCTGCTCCCACAAAGCCACCAGGACGGCCGCAGCAAAGCATTGGGGTTTCCCGCTGTGGTCTTGGTATCTTTCGTCCGGTTGACCAGTTAGGGAGAAGACATGATACCTGTGTAACGTGGTTTGTGGTCACACTTGACGAAAGGGCACTTGTTTCCATCCCTTTTCCGTCTTTATCGGCCCTTGCCGTTGGTTCTCTCCTTTCTATCTATTGGATTCAAGCAGGGCAATATGGACGAAGTCCAGAGACATCAGAAACATATACAAGGTAAGGGCAGATGACTCAAATGAAGTGAAACCTGCCATGCGCCCGTCCTATTTCTTCTACTACACAGGGAGGGCGGATACAGACTCATCGCGGACTCGGTGACTGTGTAGCAATGTTCCGCACTGTGTGGTTTAAGTCGGTTGGCGTTTCCAGTCAACGCGCGATATCAACATTCTTTCTGGATTATCTTATGGAAAATCAAGTCGATTTTAGAGACGACGGGCATGGTTCTTTGAGAACGGTGAGATGAAGCCACTCAACGAGTCAAGCGTTAATCAGCATGGGTGATTGTCATTTGACAAGTATGCCTGGACCGATCTGCTCTCACGATGAAAATCGCTTGGAACAATCTGAGATGTTCTAAGCCGGTAAGAACAACACTATGCTCCCTTGTGCTTCTATCCTCTATCGTGCTGTTGCCTTTATGGCTTCTACTTTGAGGAGGAATGCGATTCCCATCAACTTCCTTTACCTTGGGTCTCTCCCGAGTCCTGTTGCAAGATACGTAGTTGGCAAGTCCAAGACTCGGACCTAACCGCCTCAAGGACGTAGCTGACAAGAACTGTGCAGGAATCTTGGATTGTCATTCTTCTCGGAAGCGTCGCGGAAATATCAACTAAGAACAGCAGGTCTTCCGGGCATGACAAGGTCCCAGCCCCTAAGAAAAATCACTAACACTTGATGGGCACTCATGATTTTGCGCGAGACGACGCACGAACGTAACCCCTGGTGTCAGTTAGGCCAAGACGCTCAACATGAGGAGGGGGGGGGCGCGCGCGCGAGAGAGAGAGAGAGAGAGAGAGAGAGAGAGAGGATCCTGGAAATAAATTTGGCCCTTTCCCAAGGCCCCTCGCTGCGTCCGGCAGTACGTCCACTGGCGGCGGTCACCAACGTTCCATTACTAGAGTTGCGTCCCGGTCAAGGAGCCTAGGCGGTCAGACCGAAAATACGCCTTCAACCTCGTCGGGACGCCGTCTTGAGCTCCGTTCTCCAGCGAAGCCCCATGCATGTTGATGCGGCGATACTGCGCCGACAGGGACTGAGTCAAGCACCCAGTCGATGGCGTGATGGGACTTGAATACCGTGAGAGCCAGTAACATCTACGTTCCAAAAGCGGCGTCGATGTGCTTGCCGTCGTAGTCGACCCTATTCTGGCCGGGGCAGGCTTTCCTCTCTCCGCTGGTGAACGCGCAAATGATGCACCTTGGAGAAAGCCTCGCGCGGGCTATCAGTGTGAATCGGGCTGAACCCCCTCTTCGTCGGAAAAGTGTACCGTCATCGCACACTGCTAGCTGGTTGTGAGGAGCGAGAAAACACAGCCCTGATTTTAATAGGAACTGGCCGCGTTGAGTAGCGTCGATGGGTGGGAACAACCGTCTGGTGAGGCTTTCTGAGCCTGGTTTTACTTGACAAAGGTTTTCGAGCCCTGGGTTCCATACTATAGGTACGAAATAAGCAGGTGCACGTTGCGTGTTGACCAGGCATACCAAAAGCCTGAGTCAGGACAGGCATATCTCTCGTCGGGCTAACTGGTTCAGCCGGGTCTTTGGAAGAGTCTGCTTTCCATTGGGGTCATTTATTTTTTCCTTATGGTCATCACTGCGGCTACTTTATTCGGTGGGAGGCGTTGCATTTGATCCTTCTGAAAAGACTGTAGAATATACATAGCTCTGAAGTTGTACAGGAATCACAAGTCCACTTGGTTGCGGTGTTCCATAAAGCCTTCCTGGGCGATGAACACACGATAGCCCAAGGAGCTGAGTTTAGTTCTCAACCAGATTAACAATACAAAGAAAAAGCTTCCGGGGCTGTAATAGACCCTTGACATCCAGGCCTTGTGAAACAATTACATCCGGCGTATATTGGAAACCAAAAGCCTCGTTGTGCCTTTTTCTCTTTTTGCGTTACGAACAACTCCATCACTCTAATCTACGTTGTTTACCCAATGAAATCAAAGAGTCACCATGTTGCGTTTCAGAGGACGTTGACTTAATTACACATCCACTCACCCACATCCGACATCAGATCAGCACCGGCATGCTCCCGACCGTGATAGAGCCCATCTTTAGCAACACAACTACTCGCCTAAACTCCGTGGGCAATTTTCACAGAACCTAGTTCCCGCAGACTCAAAGTCAAGTAAGGCGTCCCCAAAATGCAATGGCGCTCCGAGCCCCATAACAGGCTCGATTGTTGTCACATGTCCACATGTTTCGAACGGAGCTCAGTGTCTTCGCCCAGCGGTCAAAGACGAGCACCATGCGGATGTCCTCCACGTGAAAAACTTCAACAGATTAGACCAATGCAAATTTGTTCAAGGCGCTTCTCTTTGAACCGGAGAAAATCCTGATGAGTGGGGGAAGGAAAGACGGAGCACTATTCCAGGAGGGAATCATTCTGGGGATATTCTTACGATTATCCATAACAAGTGTCATCATTAGATCAGCACGCTTCTTGTTCATCTTGCCTAGTACGTAACTTATCACGACAGTATAAGTCGAGCATATTGCATTTTTTTTATCAGCCTCTGACCACCAAGTAGATTGAATCCCTGCAATTACACCCTTGCTACAAGTAGCGGAAGCTGTCGAACAAGAGGCACGCTGTAGTTGCAGATCACGACTCGTCCGGCTTGGTTCCGCATCATCTTTGGACATCGTTCATCAAATTTTATTTTAAGTTGACAGAGATTCTGCCCATGAAGAAGCTCACTGCCGAGAACAACAAGAGGCGCAAACGCGGAGATGTGTTGGGCATACATACATATATATAGACAGTTAGTAGTAATGTTGATTATCATGTCAAAGTCGATGGGTCCATATAGACGACAGTTAGAAAGACAGTTCCAAAAGACTGTGTAACCTCGCCCATGCAGGCGGCGTCCTACACGGCACGGATAGGCAAGGAACGTCGTCGCATCACTTCAACCCCCAGAGTTTCGACTGTCCCCGCTCTATTCTTTGGGTTCTCTTTTCCAAAACGCGGGGTCATCCGTCTCGCAGGGGTGGTGGGTCAGCAGTAGGTGTAAAGGTGGTTAGCAGACCAGCTCGCTCGGAAACCAGTCGACCATTGCCCAACAAGCCCGAGATGCCCGAGAACGTCGCGTTTCTCTTTCTTCCAAGAATCCCAACAGCTTTTCTACCTCCCGCGTCAGGGCGAGACGAACCAGGCGCGTCAGGCAAAGGCAGCGCCGCCGCCGCCGCCGCCCCTCCAACCCCAAAAAGGTGAAAGCCTCACTCCTCCTCACAGGCCCCCCTGCTGAAAAGCCTCTTTGGTTTTCCGTTTGTCATGTAAACTGCCCATTCGATGGAAATATGCTCATCACGTAACCGGTGGTACAGATAATGCCATTTACCCTGGGTAATTGAACAGGGACAAAAAGCATGAGCAAGGAATGCGTCCTCTTGCTAGCTTGCTAGCAAACTCCTTACGTACAAAAAGGACGCTTCGTCCCTTTGCTCTCGCCTCTTATGATCGTCCCTCCCCGCGCTATCCTTTTCCCCATCTGCCCCGCCCTCCTCCCTGACCTACCCACAGCTAGTACTGCTCGGCTCTTTGATGGCTCGGCTCGAACGCGCACGTACAGTTAGTCTGTAAAGAAGGGACCATGGGTCATTCGACAACTACAGCGATGTAAATGTTGTCAAAATTGAATCTTCATTCCTGTCTCGACTCTCTTTCTTCTTCTCGACTATGGCTTGCTTCGTGTGCAGACCTATCTGCGGATGGACATTGCGGCAGAGGTATCGCTGAGCAACAAAAGAGAGAAAAAAAACACCATCAAAACAATCATGCCATGACCTCGGGCGCATTCCCCCGCCCTGGTTTATCTGACAATGAGATTCTGATATGAAACCCAGGCGGCATGGTGTGGTATCGATATCGGGACTGCGCCAACCCAATGGAAAACAAGGTCGAACATCGTTCATGAGCCGTCGTACCTCCCCTGTACGGGCCTCGCGTCGCTGGACACGTTTCAATACACCGGAGCTCGATCGCCGCGTCCGCCTTGAACACCGGGGCTCGAGTCCCATGGCCCGGGTGATCGTACCGGCGGCACCCGTATGTTCCGGATGGCAGTGAAACCGGGGCCGAGATCCCGATCCTGGTCGCTGCTGGCCGCACTGCTCATCCCGCTGTTATTCGACATACCGCCACTGCTACTCGTTCTCGAATGGGAGAACCCTCGTGGACTAATGCTTCCAATACTCTCGCTGCCTCGTCGCGGCAGTTGCGGTATCGAGTTCTGTCGGATTGGCTGCGGCATAAGGTCGGCGTTGGGGCTATTCGACTGTATACGCAAGTGCGACATGCCAAAGTCCCAGCCGCCATACTGATGAACACAGTGAGGCTCCTTTATGTCGCAATATTTGGTCAACAATTGGTAGACTTGGGTTTGCACCTCGGCTGCTGAGGGTCTGTCCATGGGATTCGCCGATAGCATACGGGCAACAATGTGCATCAGAGGCACGATACCTCGGAATACGAGACCTCCGTCCGATTCAGAGACCTTCTTTGACGCCTCCTTTGCCAGTGTCGACATCCAGGACTCGACCTGCCCGAGGTTCTTGTGAAACGACGAATCCAGCACGGCACCCCCACGGCCGGGAGTCTTGTGTTTGGCAGCACGGTGCGCGGCAAAACTCTTCGTCGTCTTTTTGACGAGGAAGCTCATCAAGTCCAAGATGACACAGCCAAGAGAGAAAATGTCAGCCGCTTGCGGATTCAGATGCGGGTTAGGCGTGTTCAACATTGCGTTAGGACTGCCCGGATTGTCACTCCTAGGAATGGAGAAGTTGGTGTGCGTCTCTGGGGACGTCGATATCGCCATCGTTGCCATACGACCCAAAGGACTCGTCGGACCCCCTGTCGGACGAAACCACTGCTCAGGGGCCGCATAGTCGTATGACTCCCGATCGAACGAATTCTTGTCCGCGTAACCGGCCAAAACCTCGGTGTTTAGTCTCGTGAAATCCGAGTAGAAAATGTGGAGCTGGCTGGTGAAGAGTATAGAGGAAGGCTTAATGTTCCCATGGCAAAGTCTTCTGCTGTGAAGGTAGGCTAGGGTGTCAGCAAGACAGAGGATCCAGTTCATAACCGTCCGTCTTCGTTCCTTCTTGGGAATATTCTTGAAGTTGGAGGGCGTGTTGCCAAAGAAAGACTTCAAGTTAGAGTCGGTAGCAGGGGTGAAGAGGACATATGCTGCTCCGATCTGCGTGTATGACGCGTAGTACGAGACCAAGTGGTCATTCTGTATCCCCCTGATGCTGTTGATGATCTCAACGAACTCGCCTTTGGAGAGCTGGCCAAAGCCGTTACCGAGCGGGATGCGGCGTCGGTAAAAGACTGTACCAGGACAGTTGGGGAGGACGACCTTGTCAACCGAAGTATTCCCCGCCTGTCGACGCTCGACGACCTCGAGGGGAATGATTTCGTTTTCATTGAAAACGACGTGGTCGCCTCGTTGAAAAGGCTTCAGCAAGTAGGTGAACTGGCGAGTAAAAAACTTGCGCTCAAGCTTGTCATCCTTTTGGGCCGTCAACCTGAGCCGCTCGACATGTTCGGAGGAAATGGGTAGGTCGTGATCGTCCCATGAGTCGTCAACGATGCCGAATATCTGGTCTGGGATCTTGAGGTCGACGAGGATCAAGAAGATGCGCTTGGCCTTGTTGTTGATCCAGTCCCAGTACGTCTCATCCGTCAAGCCGTCACCAAAAGCTAGCGGTTGGCCTAAGCGCTCGATCTCCTCTGGTAGAAGGTACTGGCAGACGAATTGTCTCGTGACAGTAGCGTCAATTTTGGAAGCATCCCACCACTGACCCATGGTGCACGTTATCCAAATCCTGATATGGTCTCGTGATGGCCGGTCAGCCTTGCGGAGACGTCGGGTCAGCCGCGTGTCGCTGGCTCACGGGCTCAATGTTCCACTTGGTGTAGGCGTGGGTTGCTTCGCGCAGTTGCTGGCCCCTGAAATGCGGTGACGTGCCTGCCGTCTAGGACGCTGACGACACTGGCTGCATTACCGCGTGCCTCAAAGCCCGGGTTCTTGCGAAGAGAGGCAGCCGAAAAGTCGGGATGTGGGAGCTGAAAGCTAAGACCTGAGAACTGCGAAAAGTCCAGCAGGAGATTATTGGGAGAGTGAGAGGTTTATGTTTGAGACGAAGCAAATCAAATTGGTACTGGACGGGAACGGAATTATTTTCATGGGGTCAGAGGAAGTGTCGGGTTGGTGGTCAGTTCCATGTCGAGCCCGTCCGTCCACGTCTGCTTACATGTTCGGGCACCTTTAGTTAAAGAGAGAAGGCAGCTTACCCTTACCTTTACCGTCGCGGCACACCCTCGTACCCCGTCTCGCAAAGACGTAAGCAGAGGTACTTTGTCTCTGTCCCTCGTGGACCCCAACACTCGTCTACAATTGCCCAGTATCAGCAAGTCCACACACCCAGGATGGGGCGTTTTTGGCTTTTGCCCTTGGGGACGCAGCGGGCGGCATAGCGGGGGCAAGGTTGGCAACACCCTAGTAACAGAAGGCGAAGAAGGCCCCGGCGTACGGCGTGCGGGCGCAAGCGCGGTTGCATGAGCCTTCAGTCTCATTCTCGCGTGCCCTCCCCCCGTCTGCGTCTTCTAGTTGGAGAAGGGGGGGGGGGAGATCGAGGTCTGCGGGACAGTTGTACATGTACCCGAACCCTGTCCCCTACTCGCAAGCCTGCCGCTGCCGTGGTGGTGAAAGATCGATCCCCTGAGTCTCCAAAGTTGTCGTTACTTTGTCGGCACTCTTAGGATGGGGAACTCTGAGCTTATGGCTCGCATGACGTGATATGCTCATTGGCCGGGCGCGGCAAGATAGGAAACCTTCGAGTCCGAGAGTGATGGTTGTCCCAAAGCTATCTTTCCCGTGTTGGCTAACCTGGAGTCCGTCGTCTATTCGGCAAAAAGCGCCAAATATCGCTTTGGCAGCCCGACAGGCACATTTCGCTCGCGGCATCCCGCGAGCACCCGGGGTGCATGGCGTTGTACACTGACATAGCCTCTTGGACGATGTCCCCATGCTGTGCGAGCTTACAATGAAGGCATCCAAGGCGTGCGTTGGCGTCGACTGAAATGTATGTAGAATGCACGCGACATCATTGATGCTCGTCGTCGCATCAGGTCATCGCCCAACCAACGTGCTCCCTAATTCTCGCACTTCGCATCTCGCACCTCGCACCTCGCACCTCGCAACTCGTACTTGGTACCCGAGACCCTGAGGCGACCCCTCTATCAGGGGTTTAGCTAGCCAACGTCATGGCTCGCAGCGCGCAGCGAGAGCGATGGTGGGGTATCCCCTAAGGATGAACTGTGGTTGGTAGGTAGGGGTTGCTGAGAGAAACCCCCACTCGAAGGCATGTCTTTTTTGAATGTGAGCTTCAGGCCGTTTTCTTGTCTCGTATGCGTCCGCCTCAAAGATGGAGAAGTCTCTGGTTCATTGCGCGACAAGAAGTAAGAGTGGCAGCGGGTCGAGAAGGGCGCACGGCGTGACCTGGCCTGTCTTGGAGGGGAAACATGCTCGTAGGCTCCGTGAACAGGCTTCGGCGAGCCAACAGACAAATGGGAGCATCGCGCTGCGCAGACGAGCGGGCGTTTTCGAAGTCTGGCCGCCGGGAGAGCGGAGGTTCAACCGGTGGACACCGGCAGGCTGGCTCATTACCAGGCAAGCCGCAAGCCGCAAGCCAAGATTTTCCAATTGGTTCTTACAGTCCACACACTCTTTTGCGAGAGGGCCGGTTCATTCAGGCTCCCCAGGCGCTTGGATACTCGCTGTCTTGGCCAAACCCTGGTCACAGCAGATTCTGGGGAGCACACGAGGTGGTAAACGAGCCGTCGTGCAGTCTTGTGGTTGAGTGAGTGCCCGTATCCTTTGCATCAGAGAGGTACTGCGGGCGACGAGGTTGGCCAAGTGCAGATTTTCCATTTGGAGCATGGCCTCACCTCATCACGATTTACCGAGCGGCACCATGTTCGTTTCATAACCGGCGAGTGTCTCTAGGCTGTGCTGATTGGGCGCTTGCGCGCGTAGGATGACATGACTTGTGTCCGAGTTGCGGTCGGGAGTGAAGGATTGTGATGCAGAAATGAAGTGCCAGGATGACAGTCGGGGTGTCAGGCTTCGACGTCCGCCGGCCGGTGTCAGTAGAGATGTCGGCTTGCTCGACGGGTGGGGGAAAGGAAGCGGGGATGTCTGGAGGCTGCTGCTGCTGCAGCTGCTGCAGCAGTGGAAGCTGGAATGCAGTGGTGGGGTCGGACTTGCTCCTCGTGCGTTCCCGAATCCCAAGTGAGTTCGAGAGGAAGGAATCTAAGTACAGGTACCTTACCTCGCTTATTACCTACAGCCGTTCACACTTTTGAATTTGTGGATTTATGGATACCGTATCCTACAAACAACAAGAGCTCTGCTATCGCGGCTGCCCTTGACACTAGGTGTACCGAGTTGGCTATCCTCCATTCGTAATCGCGATCGCCAGATCTGTCCCAGGCTCTCGGGCTGAGCTCTTGTCCGTCTTCAAGTTCCTTATCTCAACTTCTTCTTCCAGGCTCGATGCAGATCCAAAGTGAGCAGGGGCATACGGGAACCTGGAAGAACCAGATCAAGCCATGAACTTCCAGCTCTCACTGGATCTGCTGTCTCTCTGTGTAGAATTGTGCTTTCCCACAGGCCCAGCCGACGCTCACCCTGGTGGCGATCCCCCGGATTCGTTGACATCTGCCGCCAGTAATACAGTATACACCTGCTGGATAGGCTGTCGCTTCTCACTGACGGTGGTGAATCGATCACACAAACTCCTCCCCGTGATCACAATTCATTGCGTAGGTAGCAAACCGCTGCTTGGAGAAATACGAAGCGTGGTCTATCCGTGCGGATACCTGAATTGCGTCCACTCAGGATCAGGGCGAAACTCTGTCGCGCCCGCAAAGGCAGGCCTGCAAACGTCTCCCTGCACTATCCTCATCTGACATCTGACAAACAATGTAAAGGACCTGCAACGAACATATGTAGCACCGAGAGTCTAATGTACGTGCCCACCTCATGCTTGCAAGGTGCTAAACTTTTTTGCACTAGTTCCCTCTGTAGTCGGATCTGGAGTCTGTTGCTGAAAGGTAGGGCCTAGGCTGGCCTTGGAGAGGGACCGGGTCCCAAAACTGACACAGCGTGGCCATTGCCCAAGCTTATCACCGCACCTTGCAAATCGTACACTTTTGCGGGAATCTTGAATCAGATAACACGAGGCTAGATCTGCTTCCCACTCGACAAAAATGGTGCCATTGTGTACAGACAACTTGGGGAGTGGAAAGCAGTTCGAGGCATGCTGTGCTACCTACAGCCAAGCAAAGTCTTGGTCCCCCTTGGCGGTGTCCAACGAAAAAGCCACCGAAATAAGTCGCCTCTCTCGATCATCGGCTATTGGCCCGCTGCAGATGTTGAAAAACGAAAGAAACGGGCGCTTTTGCGGGTGAGTAGTGTCACCGGCAAAGCATTTCGGCCAAGCATTTCGGCCATGCCACAAGTTCGCGCCACATGCCTTATCTACAGCCGTTGAGCTGATAGGAATTTACATTATGACAAGAGGATACTCTAATCAAAGACTAAAAAGATTTGTCGAAATCTGTGAAACGCAACGCTGTTTTCAAGGTCCCACGATCGAGGACACAATGTGCAACTCCTCGTGTACTCGAGCTCACCGTCTATTGGCTGCGGCGGATATCCAGCAATAGCAACTCTTCGGTCACCCAAAACGGCCAAGCGCGCAAGAGTCCGGAGAGCCGTGTTGATCTGAAGTTGGAACAATATCGGATCGAATGTTTGCAAAGGCAACATTAGGCGTCGCGACGAATGCTTTCTTAGCTCACTCGATGCGAAAACCCGAGCCTCTGAAGCGGCGTCAATAAGATTGAGCTGATTACTCAAAAGGTTGGCGATAGCTTTGCGCTACCTGACTGAGTGATGGGCCTTCCACCTGGCTCGTGTTGCGGATATGCTGCTGAGCCAAGAGCACGGCAGCAAACCATCCTTTGCAACTCTGTGCTTAGGTAATTCAGAATCTTGAGCTGCGGGCCCTGGTTATTGATCCAGTCAAAGTCGCTTCGCAGTCAACTCAGTAGACGCGGGTCCTCCCTAAGACTCCAACCAGCCGTCCGACATCAGTGTCCAGATGGAGCTTGTTACAATTTACCATTTACAGTTTTTGACATCGCGAGACAAGACTCGAATAGACTTGGTTGCCCAGACTTCAGAGGTGACGACGTCTGAGCGGCTCCTAATTCTGCTTCGAAATGATCAGTGCTCCGCGGTGGAGACCGTTGAACAGCTGCCCAGTTTCGGATTCACGGAGTGTTGAAGCTGACTGGTTCGGGCGATAGATGCGGCCTTCCCGCCTCGATGACGAGATAGACTAGTACTTCTTCTGCCGAGAGCTTTATATGTAAAATAAAGGTACCCTCGAAACAGTTGGAGTGCATGGGGCCCGGGTGATGAAGTGCCCCCGCAAAGCCCCAAGCTTCCGGACCAGGGAGACTTGAGGCTACGACATCTCAACTCTAAACACGTAACGTGGCTGGCATCCCGCTGTTGGAACTGGGAGCATCACCTACGCCTTCTCTTCCAACCGACGGTGCCGAGACGCACTCCGCAGCATGGCCTCTTGAAAGGCCTCCAATCTTTTATATTCCCTTCGAAACCGTGCGACAGATTCAAAGGAAAAAACCGACAGACTCTAATTAATCACTTACCTTTTGGCGTGATCCACCGCCAAAATGCCCGACTCGATCGATGCTCCGCTGATGGCCGGCCGACAGGACCGGGACGACGAGCTCGACTACCGGGACGCGGACGAGGAGGCCGACGTGCTACCGGCTTCCATGAAGCATGCACGCCAATCGGGCCCGAGCATCTTTGTATGGCTTCTCACTTTTGCTGCCGGCATCAGCGGATTGTTGTTTGGATGTGAGTTGCGGCCAAATTCAGCCGCCGCGGCAGAAGACAATAAATGCTGACCAAAGGTTTCTCGCAGATGATACGGGCGTAATATCAGCAACACTCGTCAAGATCGACACCTCACTATCGAACCGAGTCCTCACTACATTCGACAAGTCAATTATAACCTCCAGCACCGCGCTCTTCGCGCTCCTCGTCTCCCCCTTTTCCTCCATCGTCGCCGATGCGCTGGGCCGCAAGCGCGTCATCTTCGTCGCCGACATCCTCTTCATCCTCGGCGCTCTGACGCAGGCGTGGGCCGGTACGGTCACGTCGATGGTGATAGGGCGGTCAATCGTCGGCCTAGCCGTCGGAGCCGCCAGCTTCGTCGTCCCCCTGTACATTGCCGAGCTGGCGCCCGCTAGCCACCGCGGCCGGCTTGTGACGATGAACGTCCTGTTCATCACACTGGGCCAGGTGGTCGCGTACATCATCGGCTGGGCTTTCGCCGAGTACGGCGACCAGTCGACGGGGTGGCGCTGGATGGTTGGTCTAGGGGCGCTCCCCGCGGCTCTGCAGTGCTCGATCCTCGTGCTCATGCCCGAGTCCCCACGCTGGTTGGTCATGGTGGGCCAGTCGCTCAAGGCCAAGAAGGTCGTCGAGAGAGTGCTGGGAAACACCGTCGGCGGCATGAGGAATGCCGAGGCGGTCATCAAGGAGATTGAAATCGAAATCAGGGAGGAGAGGGAAGTCATGAGGCGGGAGGGGTCGCCGCGCATGGAGTGGTGGGGAGGCTGGCAAGAGCTCTTCTCCGTCGGGAGAAACAAGCGCGCGTTGGTCATTACTTGCTTGCTTCAGGGCTTGCAACAGCTGTGTGGCTTCAACTCGCTCATGTACTTCTCGGCGACCATCTTCAAGATGGTGGGGTTCGGCACGCCCACACTCACTGCCATGAGCGTAGCGGTCACCAACTTCATCTTCACGGTGGCGGCGTTGTGCCTCATCGACCGCATCGGAAGACGCAAGATCCTGCTCTATTCCCTGCCGTTCATGATTGCGGGCCTGATGCTCTCCGCATATGGCTTCTCCTTCGTTGACCTACGCCCGGAAACAGCGGCGGCTTCCGAGGGCGGCACGGGAGAGGGAGCGGCCACAGACAGGGGAGCGGCGGTCTTGATTCTTGTCAGCATCATGGGATATGTTGCAGCGTACGCGCTGGGACTGGGCAATGTGCCATGGATGCAGAGCGAGCTGTTCCCGTTGGCAGTGCGGTCAATCGGCAGCGGAGTGTCTACCGCGACGAACTGGGGCGCCAACTTTGTTGTCGGCCTGACGTTTCTCCCGCTTATGGACGCGCTGAGCCCGTCGTGGACGTTTGTACTCTACGCGCTGATATGCTTGGTAGGATACGGATTAATCTGGCGCATCTATCCTGAGACGTCAGGGTTGAGCTTGGAGGAGGCGACGAATCTATTAGAGAACGGATGGGGAGTCCGACGATAGCCTCGCATTGCCGGGACCTGCATGGTGCAAACGGGAACCCTTGTCATCTAACGAAGGGGAATCTCCTAGTTTTTATTTTTATTTTTATTTTTTACATACTTGGATCTTCAGCGAATCATACGGCCAATTTCACTTCAAAATGAGTTCCCTGTAGTGTGTTCGTGCGGCTAGAGGAAAAATCTGATGTACGGATACAGCGTACCATGTATCAAAAGAAAACTACCTTACTACGTACAATGTATGTAGAAACTAGAGAAGTGGGGGGGGCCATAACGCGTTCTAGACTTTTCTGGAATGCCATCGTGTGTGAGTGGAGAACCCAGCCAATTCGGGTTATTTTGTCTCTTTATAGGTTTCTCCTGTACTCCGACGGCTCCGCGGGGACGACTGAGGGCGGAAGGCGGCAAGAAGCGGCATTGGGCTTCGTTGGGCTTCGGCGAGAGGGGCTACAATAGTCGCCGAGGCCGCGGCCCTCGGGGGAAAAGGTGTGGATGGAGAAATGAGATATTGGGGCGTCTACGCGGCCTGGGATCCACGTTCATCCTCCTCAAGGGATTAAGACCAATTTAACAGTAAATCCGTGGCCCCTTTTCTTTTGTGATTGATGGGGGTTTCTCTTTTTTTCCTGGCAAGTTTTGCTTGTTTGTTTGCTCTTCTGTTCCCGACCATCCTGAAGCATCCCTCAATGACCGAAATAGGGGCGTTTCCAAACCATCCCGCGTGCGATGCTGATGGTGGTCTAAGGTAGGTAGTCGTCCGGCGCCCTAGACACGTACGGACTCGGACAGACGCCGAGGACATTTAGCTGCACACGGCCGGGGATGCCGTGGCGTTCCACAGTTTTTTAAGCCAGTGCGGCAGGAAGTGGCAGACGGACGCAAGGTGACGTTTAAGGCTGATAACTGAAGCGGTGCGTTGGTGGCCCCGAAAAGCGCGGGGCCGAGGGGAAAGAGTCTCTGAGACTCGAGGGGCACCTTGGCGACTGGAATGGAACAAATTGAGACAAGGTGGAGTCAATTGCCAGAGTATCAAGCTATTTTCCCTCCGTCGTCAGTCTTCCCTCTCACTGGGATCCCTACATCGCGAGTCGCGACTTCGGGCTGGGCTTATCTCCTCACGAAAAGTCTGAGGTTCAGCCCCAGTGACATCATACCGGGCTTTAACCTTCTCCCACATTTGTAAGGTATCATGTTTTCGTCGGATCCGACCGGTTAGCAAAAACTCTAGTTAATTGGCTCCCCGGGTCGTTACTGCTAAAGGTCGGTAGAGGAAGATCATTGTAAACTCTGATTCGCTGCGTACCTACCTAGTGTATGGCGCACTGCTTTGCTCGAGCCTTTTAGAGGACAGTGATGTGCCGAAACTTTGCGAAAAGTTCGATTGACGGTTCCTTCCAGAATGGATTTCAGGGATTGGATGATAAAAGTCTAAATCCACAGTCTCCTCTAATGTTGAGAAAGTGACTAAGAACGAACTGCATTTGTAAGAAATTTCGTGCAGCATCTCGAATTTGTAACAACACTGCCTCACTAGGCCAAGTCGATCCTGGGCGACCGGGTCAGACCTTCAGGCACATCAGGGAAGGGGAAAAAAAAAAAGCTGTGACAAACCAAAGGCGAACCCCACCTGCCCATCGATCCCTCGGCTGGGTTCCACCGTTCCATCAGCAATTCCCAGGTTGTAGTGCCGGCTACCGCCTCCGGCCCCGTCCGGGCCCACTTGCCTTTCCTCCTTTTTGTACGAGGTAGTGCCTGGGCCACACCCTTTTCACTCGGCTCGTGTCGTCGCTCATTTTTTTCCTTGCTGGTGATGCCGAACTTTTTGCCGCCGAGATGTTATGGGGGAGTAAAAGTTGAGGTAACTGCTGACTTCTTGCCGAACTTTGTATGGGCAAAGGGAAAAATTCTAACCCAAACAGGTATCCGTAAAGAAGAAGAAGAAGGGAAAAGAAAACCAAAACCGAGCAGGCATGCCCGCCACGGATTCTCCATGGATCTCTTTTGGGCCCCCCCAAGTGGGACTCTGCCGACCCATTTGCTACCTCACCTTACCTTAGCACTCAGTCCTCACATTCTTTCCCCCTTGGCTTGGTCACCCGGGAGATGTATCGGCTCCCATCAGCTGAAAGCAGAGTCATTCATACCCTACTTGGCAAATTTGATTTTTTTTCTGCTTCGCCCTCGTCTGCTATGATCTACTTGTACCGTCTCCATGCATAGTACCTCGCCTCGGACTTAACGCACCCATTGTCCATCGTCCGCTTATTACACACCCGCTCTCTCAACCCATTTCCTCACTAATACATTGCTTCCATCTGGACTGATCTTTCGTCTTCCAACCCTTCCCCTCATATATCTCTGGATCATACAACACCCAGATAATTCATTATTCATAAGACGAAAGGGCCACCCACTCGCCTGATCGTGTGTCTATCATCTCCAGTTTATACCCCTTCCTACATCGACGCGCTCTCTCCCCCCCATTGCCCCCGTTCTAGAACTCGGGAGGCGGCCTACATCATCTTGCCGGCCCTTTATTCCACATTACACTAGGTTGACGTAGCGAGTCAGCGGCGCCGGCTTCATCATAGCTCCAAGCTACTTGTCAGCACAACGCAGCATTGCATGAGCTCTTTGCTCCAGTACTCGGCGCCCAAGACATCCTCTGTCCATTGACGTTATATACGTACAGCCTGATCTGTAGTAAAACACCCTGATCCGTTCTTCACCTCATTGAAGTATCTTCAGCAGCATCAACATCTCACAAAACACCCAAACATCCACACATCGACATCGTTCAACAATGGCAATGGACGAAGTCGACCGTGAAATCGCGGAAGCCGAGCGCGCCGCGTCCCCAAACCGCTACCACGGCCGCGAAAGCCACGAGATCGAAAGGGTCCTCTCCGCTTCCTCCTCCTCAACCTCCTCTACGGCCTCGCACACTGGTGATCGCGCCGCAGCATATCGCACCGGCAGCGGCATCAGCCGCGTCTCGACCCAGAATGACCTCGAGCGTCACCCGACGGCGCTGAGCCGCATCGCGACCGCTCGCAGCCAGCACTCCAACACCGTCGGCCGCAGCATCAAGAGCAGGGAGTCGAGGAGGCCTCTGCCGGCCATGGGCGCCGGCAAGCCCTACCCCCCGCCTCTGCCAGAGCAGGAGGACTACGTTGTGGAATTTGATGGACCGGAGGATCCTCTACACGCGCAAAATTGGCCGATCAAGAAGAAGTAAGTCGCAAATATCATTGTCATGCAATTGTCAAGTTTTGTCAAAGACGTGACCTGGGGCGATGGTAACTGACATGTCTTGGCCCGCAGGTTGCTTACAGCCGCAATGCTTGGCTACACCACGATGACGTCGGCCTTCACCTCGAGTATCTTTTCAGCAGCGACCCAAATCATCGCAACAGAATACAACGTCTCCGCCACTGTCGGCACCCTTGGCGTCTCATTCTACGTCCTGGGTTTCGCGTTTGGCCCGACCCTGTGGGCACCCCTTTCCGAGTTGAGGGGCCGCAGACTACCCCTGGTCCTGTCCATGTTCGGCTTCTCCATCTTCACAATCAGCTGCGCCGTCGCCAAGGACCTACAGACGATCCTGATATGCCGTTTCTTCGCTGGCTTCTTCGGCGCGTGTCCCCTAGCCGTCGTCGCCGCCGTCTTCTCCGATATGTTTGACAACCGCACGCGTGGTACCGCCATTACCGTCTTCTCCATGGCTGTCTTCACCGGCCCTCTCCTAGCCCCCTTCATCGGCGGCTTCATCGTCGAGTCGTACCTCGGATGGCGCTGGACCGAGTACATCCCCTCATTCATGGGCTTCCTCGCCTTCTTCCTCGACCTGATCTTCCTGGAGGAGACGTACCCGCCCGTCATCCTCGTCAGCAAGGCCTCGGAGCTGCGCCGCCGCACACGCAACTGGGGCATCCACGCCAAGCAGGAGGAAATCGAAGTCGACTTGAAGGAGCTGGTCAACAAGAACTTCTCTCGTCCCATGCGCCTCCTCTTCGGCGAGCCCATCGTCACGGCCCTGTCGGTCTACATGGCCTTCATCTACGGACTGCTGTACCTCTTCCTGACGGCCTATCCTTTAGTTTTCCGCGGCGTTCACGGTTTCGGCGCCGGCCAATCGGGTCTCACCTTCTTCGGCATGATCACCGGCCAGCTCATCGCCGGCATCACCGTGCTCCTCCAGCAGCCGTGGTACCTGCGCAAGCTCAAGGCCAACAACGGCATCCCAATCCCCGAGTGGCGTCTGCCCAGCGTCATCGCGGGCGGCGTCTTCTTCGCCATCGGCATCTTCTGGTTCGGATGGTCTGGGTACCGCCGCGACATCCACTGGATCGTTCCCACACTCAGCGGCCTCTTCACCGGCTTCGGCCTCATGTCCATCTTCCTCCAGGCGCTCAACTACCTCGTCGACGCTTACCTCATGTTCGCCGCCTCCGCCATTGCGGGAAATACCTTCCTCCGCTCCCTCTGCGGCGCTGGCTTCCCCCTCTTCGCCACCTACATGTTCAACGGCATGGGCATCCAATGGGCATCGACCCTCCTCGGCTGCGTCGCCATCGCTCTCATACCCATCCCCGTCATCTTTTACATTTGGGGCCACAAGATCCGCGCCAGATCCGCCTATGCCCCGACCTTTGCCGCTCCCGCCGACGAGCCCGAGGACGAGTTGCCCGAGCCGCTTGCCAACGGGCATACCAGCCACCACCAGGACAGCGAAAAGCCGCCGTCCATTGCCGCGATGGAAGCAAGCAGAGCTAGGACGAGCGGCGACAAGGCTGAGAATGCCGTGTGAAGAACCGAACATCAATCATCACCGTCAAAAACAGAACCCTTCCCCCCAACATCTTGCGATTCTCTCTCGTATGTCCAGACACGAATCTGTCTCTTTATGTGGTCTCTGGAGTTTGATGATACCATTGGAAAAAAGTTGAGCTGGTTTTTTTGGGCATTTCATCTCTTGTTTAAAGATGCTTATGACAGCGTCGTTCATCTGATACCACCTCTCTTGTGCCTACCAAAAACCTTAGCGTAGCTTTTACGATTAATTACAAACCCACTTAATACTCAAAGCAATGATTAAGCTTATCTAAACAAAAACATGTTCAAATTTTTTTTCCCCGATAATATGCTCGTGCTCTTCAACCGTGGACATGTTTGCAAGAGCTAAAACCGGATTCCTCTTCATCCTGGTAGCTATCGGCCGGCACGTTAATCTAGCCGCCTTATGCCAAGTCCCCGCAAATCGGCATTGCACTCTACCTTGGTGTCGGCCCCTGCATCCGCGTCTTCGGCTGCCATTCGCAGGGCGCGGTGACATGACCCGATGCGGCAGGTCAAACGATGCGGATCCTGTCTCTGTCTATTTCTGTCCTTTCCAATTACCTACCTATTCTTCTGATTTAGATCTCGATGTGCTGAGTATCAGGAAAACCTATAACTATCCGCAGCTTTATTGCCAGGCTCGGATTTGCAGACTGTCGACATTCTTCAACGTAGGGAGTCCAGAGCCGACGACATGGACATTCTCTTGTCAACGGGCTGGGGATTATCACTTGTCTTTGCTTCTTTACGCTACGAGACTTGCTTACGCCGACGGGATGAAATGAGAGTGAGGGGAAATGGTGGCTGTGTTGATAAGGAGGTGGGAAGCTGTTAGTACCTAGTAACGAATCCTTTGACAATCTCGCCCGTCTCATGACACGAGGTGGGTTAAACGTTATATAGTTTGCCCATGTAGAGAATATTCCAAGTGCTATCGTTTGACCCCTTGAACCGACCCTTTGTTTACGGATGAGTTTGTGAAGCTTCCTCGTCCCAAGGCCAACTACGGAGTATTCAAATATAGGTAAGCGAATCGCACGTATGAAAACTGGTTAAGTAAGCAGCGCCATATCACCACCACTCCTCACTCGCACTACGTCTAACAGACAGAAGGGGGGAAGCCACCAACAACGTCAAATACGACTGACTCACTTATCGCAACGAGAATCAAGTAGTAGAATATTTCAAAGAAATGTCGACAGAAGAAGCCCCCAAAACGTCAAAGACGTACGATGCGAGCTGCCACTGCGGCAACATAAAGTTCTCTCTCACGCTCTCGCCGCCGCTGGAGGAAGGATATAAGGTCCTCAACTGCAACTGCTCCATCTGCCGGCGCAGCGGGTACCTGCTCATCTGTAAGTTTTGATCCAAGACGAGAGCCCGACGAGGTCTCATTACCAAAGCCCTTCCTTACCCCTCCCCCCCTTCCCCTGTCTCCCCGATTACGGCATATCCTTGAGGGGGCTATCAAGTACGCGACGTACATGTAACTGAACCTCTCATCTTTCAAAAGACCCCAAAAAACAAGACGTCACATGGCACGACGGCTCTCGCGAGCGGTGCACCAACTACCGCTTCAATACCAAGACCAAGGACCAGATGTTCTGCGGCGCCTGCGGATCGAGTTTGGGAATCGACTTTTTGAAGGAGGATTACTACGGGATAAGCGTACTGTCTCTCCCCTCCCCTCTTTGCGCTGCTTGTTCCTGTGAAGAATAGCTAATGAGAATGAGTAGGCACGTGCCCTCGACGGAATCGATCTCGATGCTCTTACATATAAGAAATTGGACGGCCTGAACAAAGTCTCACCGGCTCAGGACCTGTCCGGGTCGGGAGATAAGGAGGCGAGCACTTGAGGACCTCAAGATCTACAAACATCAAGTCTATCCTTTGAAATTATGGTATATATTTTTTTCACTCATCCACGTCCTGAGAATTGTCATGTTGTGTGTCCCGCCTTTTTGGCAATATATAGAAACCACATTCGGTGCCGGCACCGCATGATCTCCCAAGGATATTTGAGCAGCAAAACATCAAAGACACTCTATATCAGACTTCCATTCTTCTCGCTTATCCCCCGCTCCTGCCTGCCGATAAACGTCTGCATGGAGGTGTCCACACGCGCAACCTTTCTCGCAATCTGCTGGACGGCGACGGGGAGCACGCTGTACCAGTGAATCCACCTCGCGTACAGCGGCATCGCGACGTGCGCGCTCTTACCCGCGTCAATGGCCGCAATGACCTCCTTGCAGACGTCGACGGGCTCGACCACGGGTGCGACAAAGGCGTTCGGCGTCTGCACGCCGTAGAAGAGCGGCGTCGACAGCTGGCCCGGCTCGACAAGGATGGTGCGGATCTCCGGGTGCGAAGCGGCGAGTTCGGCGGTCAGGGACTTGTGCAGGGCCGTGACGCCGGCCTTGGCGGCGGCATAGTCCGTCAGGGAGGCGGCGCCGAGGTGGCCGAGGACCGAGGACATGGTCACGATGGTGCCGCCGTTGCCGCCACGGATCATGGGCGGGAGGAAGGTCTTGAGGGTGTAGAAGTGCGCCGTGAGGTTCGTGGTGATGGACTTTTCAATCTCTTCAAACTCGAGGTTGAGGAGGGATTTGCCCTTGACAATGGCGGCGTTGTTGATCAGGACAGTTGGCGTGCCGAGCTGTAGCAAGGGGGGGATATCATGGTCAGTCATTGGCTTTGCGATGGCGCATTACGGTCTCGCAAGGTTTTAGGTGGACTTACATCTCTCTCGATTTGCGCTGCGACCCTCGCAACCTGCGCCTTGTCCGTGACATCGCACTTGTAGAACGTGACGCCCCGCGCCTCGCCGTTCTCCATATCATTGATATCCAATACAGCCACAGTCGCGCCGCGCATGCCGTACACCTCGGCAATGAGAAGACCCAGACCGCTGGCACCGCCCGTGATGACGATCACCTCTTCAGTGAGGTCGACCTCACGCGGCAAACCATAGGCGATGCGCAGATTGATCGCTTGCGCAATCCAGCAGACGGTGATGAAACATGCCCAGGCGATGGATACGAGCATGGGCGGGGCATCCCAGCGGAGGGCCTGGGCGCGGAAGCAGAGGGGAATGATCCACGAGACGAACGGGTGGAAGAAGGTGATCTTGAAGACCTTGACGAGGAGGTCGAGGGAGAGCGGTGCGAACCACGAGTCGCTTTGGGGTGGGCGCGGATACTCCATCGAAGGCGTCTGGAGGAGGGTGGTGGTGGTGGTGGTGAGAGGGGTCGGGTCGGGCTATGTACGAGCTTTATGTCGTTCCGAGAGTCGAGTGTGTATTAGGAGAGAACTTAGACGTGTCGCGCTCTTTGTGAGTTCGATAATTAGGATGGGAGAATAAGAAGAGGAGATCCGAAAAAAAAGATTGTACAGGTGTCGTCCAGCGTTGGAAGTGGAAAAATGCCAGGCAAAGATGAGACGAAGAAAGGCACAGCCAAACCTGAAATGGGCCAACAAGGGAGCTTGACGCTCTGGCGGGAACTCGTCACATGTGGATGGGCCTGGATCGTTGAAACGGTGGCCAAGCGCCTAGGTGTGCTCACCTGGTGGCAGCTTCCCCTGGAAACCCCTGGTGGGACGGCCACTAAAACGCCCCGGAGCCCCTGGCAGCCGCCCATCTTCCACGGCGAGAGGAGCCGAGACCCCACTCGGTGCCGCCTGTCGACCTAAGCTTATCCGAGCCCGCTGACATTTCGGCCGCTGAGAGGATGCGCCGGCTGGCTAAGGAGTGTTCGACGCTCCATTGCATTTGTCTGATCGGATGAACGAGAAAAAAGAAGCCTGCCTCATGATTTTATTTCATGATCATCGCTACATTCTTTTGACCAAACAAGTTGGTCTGTGGTATAACCCTACCTATCTAAGTTGCACTTTTCACGACTATTCCCCCTTTTCCTTTTTACATGGACATAACAAGCCGCCCCAACGCCGAACAATGCAAGGAAGAACGCCACCAACGGCAATGGCAATATCACAGCTTCTCCTCTACTTCTCCCGCGCCAAGATCTGCTTTTCTCTCTCGCCCTTCCGCCTCTCAAACTGCTTTTTGGTGTGTCTCCGCTCGTTCTCCTCGCGCCTCTTGATCGACGAGAGCTCAATGTTCTTAATCTCGCCCGCCTTCTTGATGACCTTGGGCAGATGACGATGCTTCTTGATACGTCTGACCTCCGGCATGTGGCTGTATCGTTCGACCAGGGCCTCGTTGTATTCGAGCGCCTGTCTCTGCTTGGCGGATCTGATGCCTGACCTGTCCGTCGCGTTGCTTCTCCAAACGCGGACGTTGCCGTCATCGGAACCACTAAGGACGTACTTGGAATCGGGAGAGAACATGGTGCTAAACACCCTCTGCATGCGCTTGGTGTGGTACATGTCGCGGGAGTGTCCTTGATCGCGGTTCCAGATGCGCACTGTTCGGTCGTAGGATCCGGACACCAATTCTTCACCCGTCGGGCTGAACTCAACGCTCATGACAGCGGCGACATGGCCCTTGAAGACGTTGAGTGCTCTGTCGAACTTGCGCATATCGAACATCTGCTTCTCGTTAGCTGTTTGTCAAGAGGTTTCCCAGTTTCTAGATGACTTACGTAGCAGTTGTGGTCTTCGCTACCAACAACAAAATTGAAAGCTTCCATAGGGTTCCAGGAGAGAGAATTGCAGGTAAATGTCATCGTCGTCTTGGTCAGAGGCATCGCAGTACGGACGTCCCAGAGAACAATGCTTCTGTCGTCGCCCGTGCTTCCAAGAATGGACTGCTCAACCTGGTTGAAGGAAACGCAGTTGATGGAGTCGGTCGCATTCGGCCAGCGCAGCACCTCGGGTGCCGCACTTTGTCGCTCAAGGTCGTAGATGGCGATTTCACTCGAGGATGAGGAGGCCGCGAAGGCATTTCGCGTCCGGTGGTGAGACAAGCTGAGGAAACCGTTGCTACCCAGCCATGAGGAAATCGGCGCGGAGTCGCTTGCCGTGTTGTAGGGATCCCAAAGTTTTATGGTCTTGTCCGCCGCGGCACTGAGAAGCTTTCCGTCCTTCGTCCAGCAAAGACTCCGCACAATGTTGGAGTGGGCGCTCTTGGTCTGCCAAATCTCGGCTCGGCTCGTCAGGTCGAAAGCTTTAATCACACCGTCGGCGCTGGCCGATGCCATATGCTTGAGGGAGTTTGGGTCTTTGGCCATCGAGTAGACCTGGTATCATTGTTAGAAATCGGTAACCCGAGGCGTTCGGCTCCTCATGTTGGACGTACTCCTTCGACGTGGCCGCTGCCCATCTGTCCCACAAAAGGTGCAGCGTGCATGCGCTCGAGCTTGACAGCGTTCAGGGCCTTGGTATACCTATTATCCTCGTCAGCTTGGATCAAAGCATGGGGTCAAGCCTACTTACTCTCGAGCGCGCTCCATAGGATGCTGGGCAGGATCGAGGTTACTGCGTTGCGATTAGCCAACATCTGCAGATTCCAGTGGTGTGTATTTACCGGGGTAGCTTCTGCGCAGTTGCGCCTGGAGGCTGGTAGGCCTCCACGCTCCGAGAAATGGCCTTGATCTTCATCTTTGGGGGCGCGGTGCTGTGTCTTGCTTGACCACCATAGAATCCTCGATGGTTCCCAAAGTCTTACAGAACTTCTCCCAAAAATTTAAGTGGGGGTGGGGACATCTCGGAGGACTCTTGCCAATCAGATAAGATCACGGATTAATATTATCCCGAATGACCCCTGCCCTCCACCGCAGGTGCTGCCCGGGCTTGCGTCGGTCACGGCAACCTGGACCTGTCTGAAGGCGGCGGCTGGAGCTCTTGACGCTGCACCAAGCTATCTACTCCCACCACGAATCCGGCGATCTTTTTGCAAACCACCACCTCCCCCACCGACGACACACGAGCGTAATTCAGCAACCCCATTTGAAATCAAGATATCCGATTCGAAGTCAAATCAAGCAGTCAGGATGGCTCAGGGCGAATCGGCGAGGGTGCAGGAGGCACAGAAGGCGACCAAGACAGATCCCAGAAAGGCTGAGCAGCTCTTCAAGGAAATCATCTCTCAGCCCCCCTCCTCCGCGACCTCCGATGCTGCGGTGAAGGAGTACGAGACGGCGTTGCTTGGTTTGGGAGAGCTGTATCGGGATGAGAAGTGCGCCCCTCCTCGGTCCAGTGATGACATCGTGGGGGCCCCATGTTTGCTAACAGCCCGCTTAGGAAGACGCAGGAGCTCGTTGACCTGATCACAAAAAGCCGGACAACCCTTTCGTCATTCGCCAAGGCGAAGACAGCAAAGCTTGGTACGCCTGCACTCGGATGCTCCTCCCAGCTCGTGACGGAACGGCAAGACTAACCGGAACCCCTTCAGTCCGCTCCCTCCTTGATCTCTTTGAGAAGATTGAGGGCAGCACCGATATTCAGATCGCCGTCACAAAGTCATGTATAGAATGGGCAACCTCGGAGCGCCGCAGCTTTCTGCGCCAGAACCTGGAGACCCGCCTGGTTGCGCTCCTCATGCAGAAGCAATCCTACTACGATGCACTCACACTCATCAACGGCCTCCTCCGCGAGCTCAAGCGCCTGGACGACAAGCTTGTCCTCGTCGAAGTCCAACTCCTCGAGTCGCGTGTCTACCACGCCCTCGGCAATATCCCTAAAGCCCGCGCGGCCCTCACCAGCGCCCGTACCAGCGCAGCCTCCGTCTACACCCCACCTCTCCTCCAAGCCCACCTCGATATGCAGAGCGGCATGCTCCACGCCGAAGACAAGGACTTCAACACGGCCTTTTCCTACTTCATCGAGGCTTTGGACGGATACCATACCCAGGACGAGTCCGTCAAGGCCACTGCCGCACTCCAGTACATGCTTCTATGCAAGATCATGTTGAACCTGGTCGACGACGTCAACAACCTGATGACGTCCAAGCAGGCACAGAAGTACGCCAGCAAGAACCTCGAAGCCATGAAGGCCATCGCCCGTGCCCACTCGAACCGATCCCTGGAGGAGTACGAGCAGGCCCTCCAGTCTTACCGCGAGCAGCTCGGCAGCGACGCCTTCATTCGCAACCACCTGCGACGTCTCTATGACGCCATGTTGGAGCAGAACTTGATCAAGGTTATCGAGCCCTTCTCCCGTGTCGAGATCAACCACATCGCGAAGATGGTCGGCCTCGACACGCAACAGGTGGAGCGCAAGCTGTCTCAGATGATCCTGGACAAGGTAATCATTGGTGTGCTGGACCAGGGCGCGGGATGCCTCATCATCTTCGACGAGACCGAGCGCGACAGCGCATATGACCACGCCCTGGCTACGGTCGAGAAATTGAGCAGCGTGGTGGATGTGCTCTACACTAACCAAGCGTCCATGCTCGAGTAAATGGCAAGGCAGGCGTCAGGGTTGGCAAACGGGGGGCAAAGCGGAATGGATTTGGGACTGTACTATTACCATAGACACAAATGCCGGCGGTGCATGAGACAGAATTCATTCTGATGAAGTGGTATCCTAACAGTTGCGGGCGTGGTGCCCCAGTGACCAATGAAAACATAAACAAAACATGCCGATGCCCTGCGACGCCCAAGAACCCAACCCCCCCCTTATAAACGTGTGAGCCTTTGTACACTCATTGAGCATGAGACTGTCATGAAAATCATAGGTCCTGTGGTAGTGCAAACAGAACCCCAACAACGCCGAGTATGCACATCAATCACCCTCATGATTTAAGCCATTTACAAAAACCTGACCGAAGGGGCCTCGGGAGCCTTGCCCTGCTTGCGGAGCTGCTCCCCGACGATCAGCGAAAACACCCTCTTGGCGAGCACCTCCTCGTCCCACACGCCCACCTCGGCCTGGAAGGCATCAACGACATCGAGGTGCCACTGCTCCAACTTCAGGCTGGCACCGTGCGAGTTGACAGACCGGCCCAGGAGCCAGCTAGACTTGCTCGTGAAATCATCCGGAAACTCAAAGTCAAAGGGACCCTCGCGGCGCAGCTGGATAATGTCATCCAGGAGCAGCCAGTGGTCGCGCGACCACATCGTCTGCGACAGACGCGGAGGTTCTTCTTCGACCGACTTTTGCATTTCATTCATCCCTGGCGCGTCGGTCATGGAGATGTCCATATCCTCATTCATCTCCTGGTCGTCGTCTACGACGGCTGTGACGGCGGCGGCTCCAATTTCCTTGTCCTCTGCCTCCATGATGGCGGCGATGCGTTGTTGTTGCTGCTGCTGCTGCTGGGCAGCTGAGGCACTACCGTTGGAGCTGGCAGACAGGCGCCGTTCGGCGCGGACCTGGGCCTGAGCGAGCGGCGAGAGGACGCTGCTGGTGAACTCAACGACCCTGCCCGGCGTGCGGGGCTTGAGCGGGGACCGCAGGCACGACTTAGTCGGCGACATATTCCTGTCGGGCAAGGGCCGGAGGACACGGCGCTCCGACTCGGGCGAGCTTTCCGCAATGGCAGAGGCACTACTCTCTTGCCACTTCTGGATATCGGCGCGCGAGAGCTGCATCCGCACCGGAGTCAGTGAGGGCACCGGCGCCGAGACCTTGCTAAAGAGGTTCTGGGTCTTTTGGCCCACGTTTGGCGTGAAATTCTTCTTCTGGGGCACAGAGGGGAAAGACACCTCGTCCGACATGTTGGGCTGGGAGTCTGGGATCTCAGACCGGTGCCTCACACTGCTCCGAGGGTTTGTGGACGCAAATAGCTCACGACGGGTGTCCATGACTGACTTCGCAGTAGCAGAAGAAGGCTTAGCAGCCGAAAAAGGATCCGAGTGATCGTTTGTGTCAGCAATGGATTTGGTCGCCGAAGGCTTAGCGGGTGAGAAGAGGTCCGAACGACCGCTGGCAGAAGGGGCGAAAGCCTTCTGGGGGACAGACGGAAACATGGAATTCGTCTCGAGGCCCGCATCAGCCCGCTCCGGGCGTTGTGCAGCATCTTTGAGATTGAGTCGCTTCTTGTCTAAGATTTCCTGAACACCCTGTGCTCCAGGCAGGAGATTAGGAGAAGAGAAGAAAGCAGCCAGATCCTTCTTGGCGGAAGACCTCTGGGCAACTTCAAAAGCCTTTTGGGGAATCTGCTTCTTGCGGCTCTGCTGTTGAGAGAGCATGGAGAAATCCTCCAACTCGCCGTCGGCGAAGTCTGACTTCTGGTTACGTGACGCCGCCGGCGTGAAGATCGTCTGCTTTGGGGACGCTTCAGCAGGTTTCTGCCAGGGACTGGGAAGAGCTGCGCGCCTCGCTGGAATAGAAGATGCTGGCTGCTTGACAAAAGACCGTTGGCGGCTCGAGTTCGAAGCTGGTCGCGATGCCTCTACTGCCCATATGTCATCATCCTCCTCCCCTTCTTCTGCTCCAGGCTGTTCTTCTTCGACTTCAGTCTCTTCGGCACCATCTGGGCCAACGAGGCTAATCTCAAAACTCTGTCGCCGATTGCGCATAGATCCAGAAGCAGCCGTATTTGTGCTAGCATGAAACGAGCGCGACTGAGTGAAAGGTTGCTCCCGTGGAGCAGGAGCTTCTTCCATCCAGCTCATCTCATCAGCCTCATCGCCTGGGACAACGTGTAGAGACCCCGACATTGAGAATGAGACTTCAGGTTGTTTGGAAGGAGAGATACGCATACTCTTACTCAGAGCCTCCATGAAGCTAGGCTGGCCAGTGTGTTCATTCTCGGGACCGAAAGGATCATCAAACGGCTGACCAGATAACTGCGGCGCTGGAGGTTCAGACTGAGGCTGTGCTACGACGCGAGTCGGGGAACCAAAGAACTGAGCTCCGGCCTGGATCAAGGTAGACAACGGCTGCGTCCAGCTCCGAGTCGATTTGGCAGCAGACTGAGGCTGACTACTGCTCGTGGTAGGTCTAAAGGGACTGCCGAGAGAGTTCTGGCGGGGAGGCGATGAGGCATCGGAGGTGACACTCTGTAGAGCTCGTCCAGCCCTCACGATAGGAGATAGCGTGGGGCGAGCTCCGTTCTCGGGTGATGCCGCACGAGGCGCCAAGAGGTTGATATCTGGAGATGGGATAGGAGACGAGACAGGGGCAACGGGCGTGATATACTCGTTGGAGGCCGCAGGAAGACCAGCCGCCAGATTTGGTACGGGAAGGTCAGAGCTCAATTCCTCGGGCAACTGAGAATACGCAGCAGTTGGCGAACTTTGAGCTGCTTCGATAGTCTTGGCGTCTGATTGAGGAACGGGGACATCGGCGGGTGAGGGCGTATCGTCTGGTGTCGGCATTCGTGCCGAGTCTGATCGAGTGTAAGAAACACTCGCAATAGATGGAGCTGCGGACTTGGGTGAACTCTTACGAGCTTCTTCCTCTGTCTCTTCCGCCTCTACTTCTGCATCTTCTCCCTCATCTTCCCCATCTGCACGAACTTCGCGCGATTCCTCATCCATCAGTATTTCTTCCTGAGCCTCATCCAACAAGGTCTCTTCCTGTGCGCTGGTGATGTTGGCCTCGTGCTCGATTTCATTCTGCACCTCAGATTCGTCGAACTCTGGCAGCTTCGGCCTTCCAGGCGTGGCGGCTTCCAGATAAGCTTCTGGGATCTCAGAGAAGTCTTCTTCATAAATCGCAGACGTTTCCCCAGTCGCCATCGAGCTCCGCCTGATGCTCTTAGCGCCGGGTGTCGCCGCAGCCAAGATTCTTGACGGTACGCTGGAGAATGAGTTATCTACGTGCGAGGTGTCTACTCTAGAATCCTCCAGCTTTGAGTTCTCCATCTCCATCTGCTTGGCTTTAGACTCCAAAAGCTGCCTCCCAAGCGGAATAGATTTGCGTCGAGGGCTGCTTCTAGCTCGGCCCGGCGACTGGTAACGTCTGCTCGGCGACGTCTCCTTGGCTGCGAGAGACGGAGGGGGGAGAGCCGGATGAGGGAGCGACGGAAGAGCGACGGGAGATTCGGTTTCTGTAGCATTTGTTTCCACAATGGAATCCATATGCACTTCTGTCTCTTGTTGCAACTGGAATTTCTCTTCAGCAGGAGGGTTTTGCGCCGGTGACAGCTGCTCGGCGGGGATGCTATCGATCTCATCCTCATCGTCTTCCACGTGTAGTGCCCCGCTTTGCCTTAAAGACTCAAGCGTTTGGTTGATGATCAAACCAGTCTCCTCGCCAACATCTTCAGAGCGAAGATCGTGCATGCTCATGTGGCCTCTCATGGAGGGAATTGAGTTTGCGAAAATCATACTGAAATCCTCGCCTTGGGCAACAGTATCCTGATCGCGAAGTTCGTCATTGCCGTCGTTATCGCCAATGAGTGATGAGATGTCGCTGGGGGCGCCCGGCGCGAAATCGTATTCGTTATACTCGGGTTCGTTCCCGGACTCGGAGTGAAGCTGATCAGATGGTGTCGGGCTCTTATCTTGCATATAAGCTGGCGTCGGGCTCAAGGGAATCGGGTTTTCTTGTGTTGATGCGCGTGGCGTTGCTTGGTCTGACATCGTTTGCATCCAAATATCTGGTTCGGACTCAGGAATCGGATTCGCGGGAAGCTCTCGTCTCGGAATGGGATCGTCCACAATCATCTCTTCCATGCTCGCAGCGAGTCCGTCGTCAGAGGGCGCCACGCCACCAAGAATGATATCCTCTTCGATCGTTTCCACGGGCTGGTCGGAGAATTCGACGCGTTTTGGGCGACCGCGACGCCGGGTTGTGCTAGGGGGTATTGAAGAAGGCGCGGGGCCTTCGGAGACTTCGCGTGGCTGACGACTGGTGGCACGTCTGGTGCGGGTGGTCGATCTCGGTGTGCCTTGAATGGTTATGTCGGTTTCCAAGCCATCTGAATCTGTAATGGTCTTGACCCTGCGGGCTTGTCTTGGTGTCTTTCGTGGAGAGGCTGTGGCCCTCCTCTTCGTCGCTGTACCGGTCTTGGGCGTGCCGGCAGATTTGGGAGGTCGACCCCTACGCGCAGGTGTCTTGATGGCCGTATTCTTCCTATCACCGGCCAAAGGAACGGTTGTTGTGTATGCGCCGCGGCTAAGAGTAGGTGTCTCTGCGTTGAACAGTCTGCGCCCAACATTCCCGACACCGACATTCTCGTAGTCGCCTTCGGCTTCAACGGTCACTAGTAGCCGTTTAGGCTGACGGTCATCGCCAACCTCGAGCTCGAACATTTGCTTTCTAGGCGAAGTGCTACTACCGCCGAGGGAGAACAACCGTTGCGATCTCTGGCTTCGGGTTACGCGACGCGACGAAGGATAGAGCGCGGAGGAGACTGTGTCATTGAGCGGGTCTGGTGACGAAAGCAGCTCGTCGCTACCGCCTCTGGGTCGTGGCGTCGCCATTTTGAGAAATGCGCAAATGCAAATGCAAAGAAAGAACCAAGAAAAAAGCCGCGCGCTATGGCTGTCGCATAGACTTTGTGCGAAAGAAGAAGAAACGACGACGAAAAACTAGGCTCAGTGGCCTTCGCGTGGAACTAGCAATAGGAATATGTCAAATTCTATGCATTGGATAAGGGTCGTCGTGAGGTGGTGTGGCCGTGTACATGCGGGTTACAATATGCACAGAGGGACGGACGGGTCCTGGCCACTTAGGTTGTCAAATCTGGTTTGTTTACTTTGTCCCACATTTGGTTTAGCGCCGCCCCTCGGTCTTCTTGCGGGGGGTCCCGTCAAGTTGCGATGACAGGGGAACAACTTTCCCCCGCTGTTCCGATCCCTCCCGTTGTTACCTTACCATATAGGTTCCACCCAGATCCCGATTCTGGCGCAACAGGGGGCCCTTTCACCGTCTTCGAGAACAGACGTAACTAATGCGCCCTTGGATGAGTAAGAAATGGAGACTCGCAACTGCTGGTGGATGTCATTCCTGTCCTTATCTCAAGGAAAGAGCGACGTTGAACTGTCATGAACAGAGTTTTATCCTGGTCTATCAGGCGAATGCGATGGGTATTCTTCGACTTCGATATTCGGTAGTACTTCCGCATCCACCAAACGATGGCCTGCCTACCTTACCTTACGCATGTATTTACCTTAAGATAAGGTAGGCAAAGTTGTAGCTGGGCTGGCTTGCATCCTCACTTGGTAGAAGACAGAACAGGTGCCGAGGCACCGGAGTCGGACAGGAATTACTACAATTTCTCCAGCGTCGAAGAAGTCTTGGCCACCTTATGCTACTATATGGCTCTGATTCTTGCGCTGTTATGTAATTTCTTCATTGGGCGCTTCACCATTAAAGACTTGATCATGAAAAGCGTCTTTTCTTCCCAAATGAAGCATATCTTTCCGGGCCCCGAAATAGCTCTGACCCACGAGCTCCCGAAGGGACCCGTCTTCCAGACCGTGCCACGGTGCTAGGCTCCTGGGGCCCATCACATGTGACCCCTTTGTCAGCCCCCTTGTCCTGTGATCGCGTGCATGAAATCTAAAGAACGGCAGGTAATGACATAACTGGGGTTAAGGTTCTTAGTGGAATCGCCCATCACTCCCTCCTCCTCGTCCGACCCCCCCTTCGGCATTCAAAACTTGCTTGACCTCGGCTCCCCAGAACCCCAAAAGGGACGGACGCTTTTGTTTGAAATGGGATATGGCCAGTCAGCAGCAACCTTCCTGCCATTTTCCCTACCGTCGCAACGATACCATCTACGCCAGTCGTCTCCCCAAAGCCCGCATTTGGATGCTGCATCATTCTTAAATCGCTAATACCATCGTCCCATCTATCGAAGCTTCCCAAGAACTTCCAACCTAACACCACACCACCATCCAACCCAATTCGCAAGCAACCATGTCGAAGCCAGTGCTCCCTCAAAACGACAATGTCGCCCACGCCCTTGCCGGCGCCGGCGGTGGTCTCCTCTCCATGGCCTTGACGTAAGGCCACTGAAGCCCGTCGATTTATCTCCAAAGAGACTCTTCTAATTCGCGTGTGTGTGTTCATCTTGCAGCTACCCTCTCATCACGCTTTCTACCCGAGCCCAAGTCGAATCGAAGCGTGCCGACTCGGCATTCCTCACGGCCGTCCAGAAGATCGTAGCTCGCGAGGGCGTGTCCGGCCTCTACTCCGGGCTCGAGTCCGCCCTGTTCGGCATCAGCGTCACCAACTTTGTCTACTACTACTGGTATGAGTGGACCCGCGCCTCCTTCGAGGCCGCCGCCGAGAAGGCCGGCCGCGCCAGCAAGAAACTCACGACCGTCGAGTCCATGATCGCCGGCGCCATCGCCGGTTCCGCGACCGTCATTATCACAAACCCTATCTGGGTCGTCAACACCCGCATGACCACCCGTGGCGGCAACGCGAACAAGGGCAAGGAGGCAGGCATCGGCGACGAAGAGGCGCAAGCCGCGAAGCCCAAGAAGGCGCCCTCAACCATCGGTACGCTGCTGGCGCTCATCAAGAACGAGGGCCCGCTGGCGCTCTTCTCGGGTGTCATCCCGGCGCTGGTGCTCGTCATCAACCCCATTCTGCAGTACACCCTGTTCGAGCAGATGAAGAACACCGTCGAAAAGAAGAGGAGGGTCACCCCGACCATTGCCTTCTTCCTCGGTGCCGCTGGCAAACTGTTCGCCACCTCGGTCACCTACCCGTACATCACGGTCAAAAGCCAGATGCACGTCGCCGGCAACGGCGAGAAGAAGGAGGGCATGTCCCAGGCCATCAGTAGGGTCATTAGGGAGGAGGGCTACGCTGGCCTTTACAAGGGTGAGTCCTCGGATCTGCTCCAAGACAGTTCTTTCAGGAAGCTGACCATTTTTTCGCAGGTATTGGCCCCAAGGTCACCCAAAGTGTGCTGACCGCCGCATTGCTCTTTGCCTTCAAGGATGTTCTCTATGAGCAGACTGTCAAGCTCAGGACACTTGCCGCCAAGAAGCGCGCATAATTACGTCAAAAAAAAAAAGTCTCACTCGCCCTCTGCACGAATTCAAATAATCTGACTTTGAGTTGTTGGTGGCATTGAACAGCGTATATATAGAACAAGCAAGCGAGAGGCCCCAGTGCGCATATCAGCGTGGCCGCTCAGCATATATGCAGCAATCATATGCGTGACAGACAGGACTGTATTGATTTTGTGGGAATATCAACACGGGTAAAACGTTTGGACCAGCGTTGGAAACATGAGGTACTTGAAATTTGGTGTCACATGATTCCCGGCAAATTGGTAAGGGTGTATTCGATGAATTTTCTGTTTAGAAAGTAGGATATCAATGATCTACTACGTACCTACTACGCATGTGACGGTGTGTAAAAAGCCCAGATCTACGCAACGGGTATGATTCGCGGAACGATCCACCACTCGTGGTACGACTTGTCAGGAGTCGGCACCTCGGCCTTGAGCTTCAGATCCCCGCCTTCGCCCGACTTGTCTAGCGCCTTTCGGACAACCGAGATGGCCAGCCCCGTGGCGATGCACGACTTGAGTCCGTTCTTCATCGACGGCACCCAGCGATCATGTGATCCGACCGAGAAAGCCTCCGCCTCTGGAAATTTGCTCATGACCTCGAAGCCCTTCTTGGCGCCCGCGATGGCCCTGTCGGCGAGCTCGAGGAGGTCCCGGCTCGGGCAGTTGGACTGCAGGGTCCCGGTCGTGAACTCGTCAAACGTTGGGAGCACGGGGAGACCGATGACGGCAAAGGGCTTCATCCGCAGCTCGTAGCGGAGCTCGTCGGTGCTGTAGGGTCGGGGTGGGGGCTTGACGAGACCTAGGCGGTGGAGGACCGTGTAGAGGCAGCAGAGGGCGTCGGCGAGGCCCTCGGTCACAGCTGCGTCCAGGAGCGAGAGGCGGAGGAAGGCCAGGGACTTGGTGTACTGGGCCTCCGCGGTCGGCGTGAGGCGCGACGACGATCTGCCGGCCCCCGAGCGAGCCTGGTTCAGGCTCCGGATGACAAAGGACTTTATGCGCTCGACGTGCTGGAGGCGGTTCTTGGCGAGGTAGTTGAGGTACCAGTACATGCCCGCCAGCTCGTCCGGCTGGTAGACCTCGAGCTCGAAGCCGAGCTGGACGATCCACTCCATCTGCTTGACCTTGTACAGATAGGCCCACGACGACAGCGGCAGGGACCACTGCTCGACGGGGGTTCCCGCGGCGGACTGGTAGACGAGCGGCTGCTCCCCGGCCTGGTGCTGGATGACCTGGTCAATGTCCTCGGCGTCGAACTGCAGGTTCTCCCAGTCGCGGACAATGTGGCAGAGGGTCCGGCGGACGCGGCACCTATTTTGGCAAAAGGTGCGGAGGATGTCTAGGTAGGGCTGCGCGGCGCGCAGGCGGAAGGATTCCATCTGGTTCGCGATGGTGAAGCGCGGGTCCAGCATGGCCTCAATCTCGTCGTTTGCGCGGTCCAGGAGAGGGCTGTTGGGGAGGGAGATAATCGCGAAGTCGTCGTCGAGAAGCTGGCGGATGCTCTTGTGGCCGAGCACTTCCATGTCCTTGAAGAGGAAGCTCTGGAGGAGGGTGCGGACGAAGATTAGGGGCTGGGGCTTCTTCGCTTGGAAAGTTGTGACGTATGTCTAGCGATTTGTGTGAGCAGTGACGAGACTTTGTCAAATGACGCCAGCGTTTTTCTGGGGGGGTGGTACCTGGAGGCAGATGGCATCGGTGTAGTCGAGCACTCCGACGACTTCCAAACCGTCACTGATCATCTTCGTGAGATGTCCGAAGGCATCGTCAAAACTTATTTCGACGATGGGTCGCGGCGGCATCGTACTGGCGAGCTTGCGCTGCAGCTTAGCACTACAAGCCTCCGGGACGAGTTTGCCTAGCGCATGGGTGCTCTTTATACTCGGAAGCAAATCCAGAGCTTCTTTCCAAGGGCTTCTGATGAGATCCGGATTTGTCCGGTACTGCGTGTGGTCTATCGCTGCGAGAAACGTATACCGGAGGAGTAGTCTGTTGTTGAGCGCGTCGATAGTTTCCTTGGGTATTGAATCCGACAGTTGCCGTAGAATAAAACTTGCGTCCTTGAGAACATCGCGTACGGATTCTACGCTGAAGTCGTCGAGAAGGACTCTGTTGTACGTGTTCGTGACGAAGTCCTCTTCCTTGATCATCGGTCAGCTAGGGATCGGTTGGGTAATTGCTGCAAAGGCTAACTTCATAGTAATGCTCATTCTTGATCCTTTCGTTGACATTGCCGCATGTCTTTAAGAGCCCTAAGCAATAAGCTCGGAGGACGGCATGCATCGGCGCCGGCGGCATGCCGTTGGCATCTCTGATGAAGTGCGCGTCGTCGATGGTTGCAGGATTCGGCATGAGAATCGACTCAACGTACACACTTGTGAGGACGGTCTGAGAGAGAGGATACCCAACATGCCAGGCCATCTGCAAACCACGTCAGCAAGAGAATATGGAACGAAAGCGCGGTACTAACTTCATGGCAGAGCAGCTGGTCGATTATGCCAAGAACCTCCTCAGGGAGAAGAGGGCGTGTCACATCATAGTCCACATCTAGCGAATCCTCCGCTTCTAAGCAACCACTGTCCATTTTCGGGTCCATGATCTGGTCGCTGTCAACAAGGCACTCTGGGCCGTCGTCAAAACCCTCGGCCCACGCACCTCGAGAGCCCCAACGGACTCAAACAACGTGAAGAAGCCATCCTTGACCAGGTCGCCAGGCGCAAGCGCTGCGAGTTGATGGTCAGCGAATCTCTTGTACTCGTTTTCAGGGCGCTCTGTAGCTTACTTTCGGCGGCTTTCTTGAATTTTGACGTGATATCAAACGCCACGATGCCGTTGTTTGATACCAGGGGCGGAGGCGGCGGAGGGTGGGGTTCACGCTCTTGCTCGAGTGAGAGCCTTGAAATGTCTTTGAATTGTGAGAGAGGTGATGCCGAATCTTGCCGGACTGCGTTCTTACCATCAGACACTCCAAAGCCGGATGGAATGGCCATATCAGCAACTGCCCCTCATAAGGCTCTGTTGAGCGAGTACGTTGAGTGCAGATTTAGTGAGGTCACAGTTGCATTGGCCTGGGCGTGGATACGCTCATCCAAAAATTGACGGTAGATTTGGAACACGACGATTTCCCCGGTCCCTTACGAAAATGACATCAATGAGCATTAGGGAACAAAAGGATAGCAGTGGTCTCTTTGCCCTAATTTGTGATTTGCGATTTTGGTGTTGTTGCGAGTTAAGTGAACTTGGGCCGGGAACATGGAGTGATCACAACCGAATTTGTCCGGCGGCGGGCAAATTTGGGTCAGTGGAGGGAACCTGGGAAGCACGCTCAACCGTTCTGGCCGATGTCGAGCGCGCGCCGTCACCCGCCCCCCGACATCGCAACATTTCATCACTGGCACTCTCAGCACGTTTTAAAAAAAAATCGACTATCGTCTAGCATGGCATTCGATTGATAGGTTTAATGCCAATTTTGATATGATACAGCAGCTCACCGTCAGTGAGCCGGCGGGTACCCGGAGAGGCGTGTGCATTCACTGCCCTCCCCATCATTCCCATCTATCCCTCGATAGCCTCAGATGCCATCCCTCCTTCTCTCACACGTGCTTAACTTTGCGGCAAAAATGTCGATTCGGTTTACGAAGAGGGGGGAGGAGCGTTGACGGGGGCATCGGCAAGGTTCTTGATCTCGCCCTGCTTGCCGTTCTGCGTTGCGGTATTTCAAAGTCAGTCCTTCTGTCGATGCTTCTCATTCCAACTTCGCAAGTTCGGATTCGGGGGGCCGTCCAGTTGATTCTCACCTCCCACTTGGAGAAACGGATATCCGTCTCTCCACGACGCTCGGCAATGAGTCTCTTGTCCTCCTTCAGGCTGCGGCGCACGACGCGCGAGGCGACGGCGAGGTAGCGGTTGTAGCTGGAAATCGGGGGTTGCCGGGTTAGCTTTTTCCTTGTCCTCTCTCTCGCTGTTTCGTGGCTCCAAGCTTCGGTCGCGGGGCCCAATTGCAACGAACATAAAGGTTCGGGGGTCGTCAATTGACTCACGTGAGACCGGCGGCTTTCCAGGCGAAGACCATTTTGGCGGTTGTTTGGTTTTGATGATGAAAGTGGTTATGGGGGGGCGCAGCTCGGGGATGTGATTAATTGAAGGTTTCTGGATTCCGAAGTGCAAGCTCCGAGTTCGATGCCTGTGGCCTCAGGCAGGAAGACTCTCAAGCGACGAGGACGGGTGAGCGCCTGAGCGGCGTCTCCACTCACCTTCTCTCTGCCTTACAGGCCTTGCAGCGATTCGGCTTGGACCACTCACAATACAGGAAGATGAGATGGCAGGATCCCCTCGTGGACGTGGTAGTTGTACTCCGCCGCAATAACTTGATATGCAGTTGGTACTGCTGACTTCTCACTGAGAATAGCTTCTTTGGAGCCGGATCTCGCGGCAGTCGAGTGACGGCTAATCGGCATCATTCGCGCCATCTCGAGGCTGCACTGCTCAGCTGCGCCATCTCTTCTGTGTCATTGGTGCTGCTTACGACGTGGGACGGTTTTCGCAGAAAAGCTGCCTAGCCAGCAGCTCGTGTAAACAGGGTTCCGGAGCAATTATGCTGGGATTCTACGTAAATACTTTGTACAATCCAAGCAACTACGCTCAGTTCGTCTAGCTACATACGACATGGTCTGGGTTCTGCGGCTCCTCAAATGATGACTGGGAAGAGGTTGCCAGAGCGCTGCGCTTCCATTCTCCTCGTTTCTTACATTGAATTGGTCCGAGAAGGGAGAATACAATGGCAGACTGGCGGCGTCGGTCAGCCCATTCCGGCACAACTCATCCGGCGGTATGTACATAATAAGCTCTTGTCCATGCGAACTTCATTCCACTTGCGTAAATGTTGTTTGCGCGACACTTGAGTGGTATGTACGACATCATCCTCGTCGGACCAGATAATTGAAGTCAAGGGTCATTGCTTTGGACCTGTCAATCGTAGTATTCTTCTCCCATCATCTTTGCCAGAAAATCCTTATTCGGGCACGTCATTCCATGCTCTTACTTATATGAAGTGTGAATTACTGTCACCTATCTGATAGGCTTGATCAATAATGCAGAATCCCAAGATAGCAATCATCGGGGCAGGGCCTGCCGGTAAGCTATTTTAAGCCTCGTACTACACACTCATGTGGATTTCAGAGTCAGCGAGCTAATAGATTTGTAGGATGTCTACTAGCACGCCTGTTGTATCTATCCAAGGTCGAAGCAACTGTCTTTGAGAGTGAAGCTTCACCAAATTTTCGATGGGAGGGTGGAAGTCTGGATTTACACACGAATACCGGGTTGGCCGCACTGAAGGAAGCCGGCCTTTTCGAAGAATTCCTCAGGTATGCAAGATACGACGGCCAGTACTTAGCCATCGTCGACAAAAACAATAAACCCTGGTTTGTCAAGTCCGCAACTGGTCTCGGCAGTACTGCACAAGAGCGCCCGGAGATTGACCGCTCCAAGTTACGTGAGATTCTTGCCGAGTCTCTCCCCAAAGACGTGATCAAATGGGGACACCGCCTCAGAGAAGTCAAGGAGGATGGCAGTCTCGTCTTTGAACACACCACCATTACTGGCTTCGATCTAGTCGTAGGTGCGGACGGGGCTTGGAGCAAGGTCCGCAAACTCCTGGCGCCGGATGTCAAGCCATTGTGGAGTGGAATCAAGTTGTACGGCATGAGCATCCCGAACGCGGCCGAGACGGCTCCCGAAATTTACAAACTCGTCAATAGAGGTAGCGTGTTCGCCAACAGCGACGGCAAGCGCATTTCGATCCAACAAATGGGCGACGGCAGCCTGAGTGTATATGCGTCGAGCACAGGCGGCGGCGAGGACTGGGCGTCCCCTGAGGTCTGCGGGTATGATTCGAACGACCTCGAGGCAGTCAAAAAGGCGCTCTCGGTCGTGTATCAGGATTGGGCCCCGGAGCTTACTGACGCGATCGCCAGGACTGCGGGTGACTGCACTCCGAGGTCGCTCTATATGCTGCCAGTAGGCTTCAAGTGGTCGCATCGGCGTGGTGTAACCATGATTGGAGATGCAGCGCACTTGATGACGCCCTATGCCGGCGAGGGAGTCAACGTTGCGCTCGAGGATGCAACGAAACTAGCCAAGGCCATCATCAGTGCCGTTGCCAAGGGCGGTGCACCCGAGCTTTTGGATCAGAGGATCGAGGCTTTCGAGAGGGAGATGTTCCCCCGCGTGGAGAAAGTGCAGCGGCTGACCGATGAGCTCATGCACGACTTCATGTTCACTCCCGGTTCACCGCGGACGACTATCGCGACGTCGATAGCGAGACATGTCAAGTTCGAGACGCCGTGGGTGTTCCATCCGTTGGCGACCGCTATGGTACACTCGTTCTTTTTTATGCGCAGGATGCTGGCGCCTTGAGGCAAGAGTCCAAGATAGGTGTGGCCGGGTTTTTTTTTTCTTGGGCAGAGTGGGAACGAAGCACGATAGGTTTGGGGTCGGGTTAAGGTCCTTGTAGATTGTAGCCCATGTTCATGCTTTATTTCCGTACCTTATAGGTGAACCCGTGCCGCCGGGATGGGATGTGATCTCAATTTTGTCAAGTGGCGCAGCGCCCTGTCGAGCGCAAGAACGTGGCCAATGATGATAAGCGCAGTTGGCAGGTTCGAGGGAGCGCCCAATGGTTCGTTGTGTTGATCATGGAGAGCTGCAGTAGAATAGACTGCTGAAGTTGCCCTACGGTTGCAGTTGGTGATGTAATAATGCGCCCAAGCCATGGAGAGCCTAGTCAGTACGCAAGTTTGAAACACTGACTCGTTTTCTTCTGACAACGGCTCGCAGGGTTTAGAAGTCGAGCAAAACGCCCTTGCGGTGGTAGACTCGAATGACAGGAGGAGAACGGAAAACTTGGATGCACTGACCATGGCTTCGTTGGCTTTTACCCCATCAGGGCGTCTGAAGATGAGCAACGATACCTACAATGTACACTGGAGTAGCCGGAGCAACGCCCGTACTCTTCTCTCCATCCTTCTTGCGCACGCGAGTTAATGCATACTACTACTAGGTGGGCGCGTCCATCGCGGCGAAGTTGAGATGCTTTCTAGGATATGAGGATTGATTTCAAGAGAGTGCACCCCGCTCGGCAGAACAAACATGACAGACTAGTAATGTTTTGAAACATTCAATAATGTTTCATCCATGATGTTGTGTGTAATTCGGGCTCAAGGGGTGTAGTCGTTCTGGTGGTTCTAGGTGACTACCTAGGTGAGATTGGTGGATGGACGAGAGCAGAAAATAGGTAGCTTGAGTGGTTGAGTGGTACGGTGTTTCCGAGTTGCACGTCGGGTGGCTGGTAAACGGGGCACGTGCGGCCTGGGTTCATACTTGCAAGGGTGTCAAGCCACCGAAGGAGCCAGTGGGAGCCCAGTCAGCGCTCCACTGTCAGGATGAGGTGACGGGCAGCGGACTTGGACGGGGGGGGCCGCTTCAAGGTGACCCGACGAGTACCGTGCCACGAGGTGCTTTATTATTCTGACTGGGGGAGGGATGACGGCCAACAGGGCAAGCCGCCAAAGGGCAAGGTTAAGAAGAGGAGCACTGAAGAAAAGAAGCATGCAGAGTGTGCGGTCCTCTGGGGCCTTGGGCTGTAGGAGTATGGGACTCTGGGTCTTGGGCCGAAAAAGCTACGGATACAGCCAGGACCTCTCCGCTTTCCGAACACGGTTCGACATTGCATATACGTGCTGCCACTTGTACCTCGTACATACATACTTCACCTGAAATTCCACATCGTAATTGCTCCTGCGTTGCATTGTCTTTGCGCTCTGGCATCTGCAACCGATCCTGGGCTGTCCATTTCTCCCTCCCTCAGGCCTCTCTACTAATCACAAACTCTCTACGACATCGCTGCGCGCCCGATCTTATACGGACGACGGACGACAACGCCCATCGACAGCGTCCCCGATAAACGTGCCACCATATCGCAGAACTTCCGCTCGCTTCTTCGGGACGCTTTTTAGCCCTTGCTTCTACAGCTTCCATCTCGCCCACAGAATCCCTTCGTTCGCACCGAAGCCGACGACCTCCTACCGCCGCATCGATCTCTTCGCTGTCGTACTAAGCATCGGACGAGGGGAGGCTCGACGTATTGGCCAAACGTACGCACATACATCTCGGCAGCAGCTTTGCTAAATTCGCCCTCGCTGCCTCTACCTTCGGTGGCACGAACGTCGACCCTTTTGCTTCAACAAACGATTACGAGCCGATCACCCACCTCCACCAACTTTTACCGACTCGGTCTTATTGTTTTTTGGGTACTCTGTTGCGGAGAAACTGCTTGGGGAAGCGCAAAGAAGAGGTGGATCTTGGACTCGCAGACACAAGAAGCCCGCGGTCCTGAGATACGATGCAGGCGCCAGGCCCTTCCCAGCGCATGCAAAGGCGCTCCCCAGGTGCCGAACCTGGGCCGCCGCCAAATGTGCCTGTTCGGTCGATATCACCAGGTACCGGTATGCAACCGAGGGCTTCCAACGCCTCGAACCGATCCGCCCCGCCAAGTGGGATGCGGAGATCAAATGTGAGTCCGAATACGCATTCCAGCAACCGAGAAGCCATACTTGAGCTTCCACCACATACGATGGCTGCACAACAAGCCTGTGCGCCTCTGCCGTCTCTGTTTTGGTATCAGAAACTGATTTTACTTTTGCTTTACAGAATTCAACCAGCAGCTCAGCCATGCCTCTATCGCAAATTGAGAAGAGTGTTACCCACTTGCTAGTCGCAACCAAACAACTTCTCGAGACCCTTACACAATGGTCGCGTGGCCAAGCTACCGATGGCCAGGTGTCCGATGTCTACGTCAGACTAGGATACGAGTTCAACATGGCATGCCGGGCTTTCACTGCCATTAACGTGGATACCTCCGACCTGGGCAACGTTCCCGAATTGCTACGAAGCATACTAGAGTCGACCTTGAGCCAAGAAGCGAGCACCGAAAGCTTGGAAAAGTACCTTCCACGTATTCGAGACATCATCATCAACCTGCTCCATGGGCTGAAGCGCAAGCAGCAAAAGCTGCGGCAAAAACAACCACGAGACAGGGAAAGCGGGGCTTCAGGTGGCGCGCCTGAGCGGACGACGAGCACAAGTACGGTTGGCAGCGGAAACACTGGTTTGACGAATCTGCTGGAGGAGGGCATTCAGAATGGCTATCGACCAGACGCTCAGAGGGAATCCTCCCAGTCTGCCGGTGCCGCCCCAGCAAACACCTCCCCAAGTCGTCGCCACCTGCCTCCGAGAGATCAGTCGCGCGGTTCCGTCAATTCGGAGCAGTCTTCCATGTCTAGCACGACTATGCAAAACATCCCCGTCATGCCTCCGTACCCCGGCGACGAGGCGACGATGCCCTCTGCGCAGTCCGGAGAAGTAAACGCCGACGCTTTCCCGCCGCCACCGCCTCCTCCAAAGCAGCAATCAAGCGCATTTGCGGCTTTGCAGAAGGGCGGTGACCTGGAGAGGAGGGCTTCTCGGCGTTATTCGCAGTATCAAATATCTAAGCACCTAGGCAGTGCCATGAATGGTGTGCCAATGTTGCCATCGCAAAATTCCCCGATACCGAACCGTGGGCGAGGCGAAGTCCGGGAGTCTTTGCGTGCTGTGCAGACCCGCGAGACACTACGCCAAAACCGTGCATCGAAGCAGCCGCAACTAGACACCTCTCCGGCACCGAGCCGTGCCAACAACGAGCCCGCAGCAGAACTATTGGCAGCCAGGCCTGAAAGTCCGACGATTCAAACGCCCGAAGACAAGTACCCAAAACCTAGCGCTACCTTGAAAGGCCCCCTCAGCGATGATCTCCCGATTATGTCACCTGACGATGATGATGGCAAGCCTGAACCACCGCGCAAAGACTCAGCGAAGGTTTCACCGGGGGTCAAGACCCCGGAGAAGAAGCGCGACGCCAGCTTCCTTCACGAGCAGTCCCCGCCATTGACCACAGAGCTGACTTTGTTCCTGCAATACAAGTCCAAAGTCAAGAAGTTTGTGCTGCCTGAGGGATACAGTGAGCTCTCTATCGGACGCCTCCAGTTGGCGTTCATCGAAAAGTTCTCTTGGAATACACACGCGAATGGCGCTGATCTTCCAGAGATTTACATTCAAGACCCCGTATCTGGGGTGAGGCACGAACTGGAGGATCTATCAGATATCAAGGATCGGACCGTGTTGGTTTTAAATGTCGAGCCACTGGATGAAGTGAAACGTCATATCGATGAGGGCATCGGACAACTGAAGAAGATAGTACAGGACGTGAAGCAGAGCCAGGACGATCAAGGCTTGGCCATACAGCGAGTTTCAGAACGTCAGCAAGAGGCGGTTGCAGAGATGGCCCGGCTCGCCGCCACCCCTCCGGCTGTGTCTGCGCCGACTGATGGGTCCAGGTCCGTGAGCCTTGCTGGTGGCCGTAAGCTTGCCGCCGGACACATCACCGAGATCCAGACTTTGCGCCGTGACCTTGCCGTCATGCGGCAGGCTTACTCCAGCTTCCAGTCGGAGATCCAAGGCTCCATGTCAGCCATCCGCAGCAAGGCAAGCAACGTCAAGGCGGCGGTGGTCAAGGCCTCGATACCCACCATTGAAGGCGACACCGGTCATGCTTATGTTACCAAGGGTCGCGAGCAGCTTAACACAGATTCCGATCGGCTTGTCAATAAGGTCGACGACCTGCAAGATTTGGTCGAGGACCTCCGCAAAGACGTGGTTCTTCGTGGTGTGCGGCCCCTGCCTAGGCAACTGGAGACTGTCGCACTGGATATCACGAAGCTTTCTAAGGAGCTGAAGAAGGTGGAGGATTACATGAAGGAAGAGAAGCCCATATGGACCAAGATCTGGGAGAAGGAGCTTGAGGATGTGTGCAAGGGCCGTGATGAGCTCCGCCTTATGGAGGATCTCATGATTGATCTGCAGGATGACCTGGAGAAGGCATCAGAAACGTTTGCGCTGGTCGAGCAGGCCACCAAGGAGCAGTTGAAAGACAATGGAACAGGCGCCAGCGCTGGCAGTGCTCGCAACTTTTCCAAGGGGCTGAACGGTATTGGAAACAGTCTTGATCCGAATGCGGCCAAGGACGGTGTTCTTGGCGAGGTGAGGGCACTTCAGCCTAACCACGAGAACCGTCTTGAAGCCATCGAGCGCGCGGAGAAGCTGAGACAGAAGGAACTTGAGGGCCGGAAGGGCAATGAGCTGCAGAGGGAACTCTCAAACTTTGTCGAAGAGGGGAAGCTGAAGAAGTCTGGCGGCTTCGAGGAGGTGGAAAGAGCTCGGAAGGTCAAGGACGACATGATCCGAAGGCAGGTATGGGAAAGGCAGAATGGAATCGTCGCAGAAGAGGGCGAGGAGGAAGAGGAGGTCGAATACGAAGAAGTCGAAGAAGAAGAAGAGGAAGAGGAAGAAGAGTCGGGGGCGGCCGGCGGTGCGGAGGCTGCGGCCGAGCCGGAGAAAGCAGCTGCGCCACCAGCACCATGAAGCAGCTCGATAAATGAAGGTCATTCACATGTGTTATGGTGTCATGACCGTATGGAGGATATGTCATCCACTTTTGTTTCTCATCATTTACTTGATGCCCCTTTTTCTGTGCATCCCACAGACCTCTGCCACTCGAGCCAGATCTCGCATAGGAGGAGTTCGGGTCGTGTTGTCCCTTCCTTGTCTCCCCC